GTGTAGAGGGTCGTAGTTGGTCTCGAGAGGAACTTTTCCGATTATTGAATGTTGAAGTTGTTTCCCGGGCTCTCTTCACTCCCTTCTACTGCGGGCTAATTTGGTGAGAGCACTAGAAGGTTTTGGGGGTCACGGCGGCACCGTCCGTTTCCCACTTTCCGATTGCTGTATGTAAAGCATCGAATGGCACCAAACATCGTATGGGGAACCCACTGATGAGCGGGGCTCCAGCACAAATGACTCATTGATCATGCCTGAGAAGGTGACCTGTGCGAGAAGGCAGCGGTTGTAGAACGCTGTATAGAGAAGAGCACGCAGACGAGGGCAGAACTTGTTGTGGCATAATGGTCTGTGTTAAAGCAATCTGTACATCCGTTTGTTGCAGCCTGATAAAAATATACGCCTTCGGCCATGTAATAGTGTTATGGACTTGACTTTTGACAACTTAGGAGGCAATGAACTTGCGAAAGTCACGGCATGTGATCATTATCTCCGCGGTGAGCCTTTTGCAACGAGCTTTGCGATTCAACTCGCTAAAGCGCTTTTTAGAGTGCTCGTGAAGTTGTGGTTTCTGTTCTGCGCACGAACATGGTGCACTGCCAAAGGACCAGTAACCAGGGGCAGAGGTGGGGTAACGGCAAACCGAAAAGCTATCCCTCCTGGTTAGAGGGTCAGGACGAGACCGAACCCTTTTGAGAAACTTCACGAGTTTTGAGACATCCTTGCCATATCTTTTGGTGTTGCTTATCCCCGAATAAGAGGTTTTATTTGGTTATTCGGAAAGAAGAGTCGTATTGAGGTAGATGGAATTTTTTAGAGTGCTGATTTTTCCCGTTTTAGGCGCACTGTGAACCCTCTAGTGAGCGCTGGAACACTTTTCCACTGTCTGATACTTGATCGGCTGACCTTGCAAATTATATCGAGAGAAAGATTTCCTCGACAGAATGCTGGCCCTGGCCGACGTCAGTTGCTCGGTAACAGTGCTGTAAAGAATGATAATCCTCGTTCGTACCCCTAACTGACTGGTTGTACCTGTATATACTGGGCACACAATAACTGTATCTGCGACTCCGCGTGGAAGCCGAGTACATGGCGCAACTCGGCGGTTCGATCAACGCCGATCACGTTATCGATTTGCTTTACTTTTATTACATTTTCGAGGTTGTGTAAAACAACAGCGACGTTCTCTCCGTTACGGCTAAAAACCAACTGGTGATCGATGCAAAGCAATCAGGTTATCGACAACTTATCATTTCAATTCTGACCTCTTTCGACAGAAATTGATAAAACTGTGAGAATCCATCGATAAGTGTTTCATCGTCATAAGGGAAGGGTTCAGAGAGCGCATGATTCACACTGAAAAGAAGAAAAACCCCAAAAGAGAACGGAGTGGCTCAGTTCGCAGGCGACGAAGAGCTGTTGAGACCGCAGTCGCTAAGCGAAGTGGGGAAAATTAGCATTAGTGAATTACTAAGAGCTTCCCTTAAAGGCAAGTGACACTATAAATCCCCAGGAAGTGTGGGACTGATACGCATAGCAGGACAGAATTTGGCGCCCCTGCGCAAACGCTGCGCGGCGGCTTTTCCAAAGAAAATACCCTTATGGTGCCCTTATCAAACTGCAACGTACCAACCCGACTGCCCTTAAGGCAGTTGCGCGATCATTTGGTGCTCAGACTTGAATGCTAGTAGATATATAGTGGAGAAATGGCGAAAGAAGGGAG